ACAGTTTTAACCTATGCTCAATACTTTATAAAATATTTGTTACATTTTTTTTTTAAATTTATTTTGACTAGTGGCGCCATCATAGACTGGTTGCCATTATAATCGCCCAAACAACTTTTGCCGAACAAAAAAATACATTCGAGTTACACGTCTCGCTGGGTTGTCTCTGACTGTAGGAAAACGTTCCGATTTAAACCATACAAGAGCAGTATTGGCCGTGGTGCGCCTGCGTCGTTCGAAGTGCGAGACACACAGCTAGGAAAACGAAGCTTTAGGAAGAATTATGATTTAATTTGAAAGTCAATGATTTGCCAATATTTTTGAAATGTGTTACTTGACTTTGAAGTTAATTATAGTTATTTTGTTTTACTCCTATAGAAACTACCATAGTATTTTTTGATTTCTTTTTAAGAATAAGAAATTAATATTGCGTTTTATTATTTTGTTTTTAATAAAAAATTAATACTTGTGTCAAATATTATTACCAACAAAGTTCTCAACGCATCGATTTTAGACCACAGTACGTTTTAGACAAGGGTGGGGTGGCTACTCGATACTGGATTTTGCTGCAATAAGCAATTATCGTGAGGATTATAACTTTATTAAAAATGTGGCAGTGTGAACATATTAAGCGGTATTCCTTACTCGAAATACCTTCTATAACACTTAAAATGTTTGGATGGTAACTGGATTCTATCTCTATTTATACAAACATGTTGTTACTAAGACAAATATTGTTACTTGGACAAATATTGTTGCTTAGACAGATACTACAAGGGTCCGATTACAATAACAAGAACACAGCTGCGTCATCACTTAGCAGAATAATTTGTTGGATATAGCCGCCCTACTGTATATTTAGTGGGAATATAGGAACTATTTATTGTACTAAACAACTTACTATTTCTTTATTTTTTATTGTTATATAAAATTATATATAATGATTAGAACATAGCAGTGTTCTTCTACTGTAATCTTACTTTATCTAGAAAACTATCATACCAAACAAATATTGTAAATCAGACAAATATTATTAGATAAATATTATTGCACAAACATTATTAGACAAATATTATAAGACAGATATTATTAGACTAATATTATTAGACAAATGTTATTAGACAAATATTATTAAAAAAATATTATTAGACAAATATTATTAAACACATATTATTAGACAAATATTATTAGATAAATATTATTAGACAAATATTATTAGACAAATATCATTAGATAAATATTATTATGCAAATATTATTAGACAAATATTATTAGACAAATATTATTAGACAAATATTATTAGACAAATATTATTGGACAAATATTATTATGCAAATATTATTAGACAAATACTATTAAACATATTATTAGACAAATATTATTTGACAATAATTATTAGACAAATATTATTAGACAATTATTATGCAAATATTAATCGATAAATATTATTAGATAAATAATATTAGACATATATTATTAGACAAATATTATTAGACAAATATTATTATGCAAATATTATTAGGCAAATATTATTAGACAAATACTATTAGACAAATATTATTAGACAAATATTATTATACAAATATTATTAGACAAATACTATTAGACAAATACTATTAGACAAATACTATTAGACAAATATTATTTGCCAAATATTATTAGATAATTATTATGCAAATATTTAGACAAATATTATTAGATAAGTATTATTAGACAAATATTATTAGACATATATTATTAGACATATATTATTGGACATATATTATTAGACAAATATTATTAGACAAATATTATTATGCAAATATTATTACACAAATATTATTACACAAATATTATTAGACAAATATTATTAGACAAATATTATTAGACAATTATTATGCAAATATTAATCGATAAATATTATTAGACAAATAATATTAGACATATATTATTAGACATATATTATTAGACAAATATTATTAGACAAATATTATTATGCAAATATTATTAGGCAAATATTATTAGACAAATACTATTAGACAAATATTATTAGACAAATATTATTAGACAAATATTATTAGACAAATATTATTAGACAAATATTATTAGACAAATATTATTAGACAAATATTATTAGACAAATATTATTAGACAAATATTATTAGACAAATATTATTAGACAAATATTATTAGACAAATATTATTAGACAAATATTATTAGACAAATATTATTAGACAAATATTATTAGACAAATATTATTTGACAAATATTATTAGACAAATATTATTAGACAAATGTTTTTAGACAAATATTATTAGACAATTAATATGCAAATATTTAGACAAATATTAGATAAATGTTATTAGACAAATATTATTAGACATATATTATTAGACAAATATTATTAGACAAATATTATTATGCAAATATTACACAAATATTATTAGACAAGTATTATTAGACAAATATTATTAGATAAATATTATTAGACAAATATTATTAGACACATATTATTAGACAAATATTATTAGACAAATATTATAAGACAAATATTATTAGACAAATATTATTATACAAATATTATTAGACAAATACTATTAGACAAATACTATTAGACAAATATTATTTGCCAAATATTATTAGACAAATATTATTAGATAATTATTATGCAAATATTTAGACAAATATTATTAGATAAGTATTATTAGACAAATATTATTAGACATATATTATTAGACATATATTATTAGACATATATTATTAGACAAATATTATTAGACAAATATTATTATGCAAATATTATTACACAAATATTATTACACAAATATTATTAGACAAATATTATTAGACAATTATTATGCAAATATTAATCGATAAATATTATTAGACAAATAATATTAGACATATATTATTAGACATATATTATTAGACAAATATTATTAGACAAATATTATTATGCAAATATTATTAGGCAAATATTATTAGACAAATACTATTAGACAAATATTATTAGACAAATATTATTAGACAAATATTATTAGACAAATATTATTAGACAAATATTATTAGACAAATATTATTAGACAAATATTATTAGACAAATATTATTAGACAAATATTATTTGACAAATATTATTAGACAAATATTATTAGACAAATGTTACTAGACAAATATTATTAGACAATTAATATGCAAATATTTAGACAAATATTATTAGATAAATGTTATTAGACAAATATTATTAGACATATATTATTAGACAAATATTATTAGACAAATAATATTATGCAAATATTACACAAATATTATTAGACAAGTATTATTAGACAAATATTATTAGATAAATATTATTAGACAAATATTATTAGACACATATTATTAGACAAATATTATTAGACAAATATTATAAGACAAATATTATTAGACAAATATTATTAGACAAATACTATTAGACAAATACTATTAGACAAATATTATTTGCCAAATATTATTAGACAAATATTATTAGATAATTATTATGCAAATATTTAGACAAATATTATTAGATAAGTATTATTAGACAAATAATATTAGACATATATTATTAGACATATATTATTAGACATATATTATTAGACAAATATTATTAGACAAATATTATTATGCAAATATTATTACACAAATATTATTACACAAATATTATTACACAAATATTATTAGACAAATATTATTAGACAATTATTATGCAAATATTAATCGATAAATATTATTAGACAAATAATATTAGACATATATTATTAGACAAATATTATTTGACAATAATTATTAGACAAATATTATTATGCAAATATTATTAGGCAAATATTATTAGACAAATACTATTAGACAAATATTATTAGACAAATATTATTAGACAAATATTATTAGACAAATATTATTAGACAAATATTATTAGACAAATATTATTAGACAAATATTATTAGACAAATATTATTAGACAAATATTATTAGACAAATATTATTAGACAAATATTATTTGACAAATATTATTAGACAAATATTATTAGACAAATATTATTAGACAAATGTTATTAGACAAATATTATTAGACAATTAATATGCAAATATTTAGACAAATATTATTAGATAAATGTTATTAGACAAATAATATTAGACATATATTATTAGACAAATATTATTAGACAAATATTATTATGCAAATATTACACAAATATTATTAGACAAGTATTATTAGACAAATATTATTAGACAAATATTATTAGATAAATATTATTAGACAAATATTATTAGACACATATTATTAGACAAATATTATTAGACAAATATTATAAGACAAATATTATTAGACAAATATTTTTGACTTAGACAAATATTGTTACTTAGATAATTGTTTCTACCTAGAAAAATATCATAACTTAGACAAATATTGTTACTAAGACAAATATAGTTACTGTGACAAATATTTTTACTTAAAAAAATATTGTTTCTTAGACAAGTATTGTTACTTGGACAAATATTGTTACACAGTGAAATATTTTTATTCAGACAAGTATTGTTACTTGGACAAATATTTTTATTCAGACAAGTATTGTTACTTGGACAAATATTGTTCTTTATACAAATATTGTTACTCAGTCAAATATTTTTATTCAGACAAATAGTGCTACTTAGATAAATATTGTTTTACCCCGACAAATATTGTTACTCAAGCAAATATTGTTACCTAAACAAATATTGTTACTTAGACAAATATTGCTACATGGACAATATATTGTAAGCGAAAAATATTATAACATAAATATTGTTACGTAGAAAAATGTTATTACTTTTGCTACTTTGATAAATATTATTACTCATAAAAATATTGACTTAATCAAATATTTTTATTTAGACAAATATTGTTACTCAGACAAATATTGTAGCTTTTGTTTTTGAATAACGGAAATCAGTGACCATCCAGACGCAACGCATAAAACACTATAAAAACAAAAAAATCGTCATGCAAACATCAAACAAAAACTAGGAAAGTGAAAGTGAGAGAAGAACAAGAACAAAAGTCGGTGCAACAGTACCTTGACCATTGGGTCCAATCGTCGCATGTGCCAAAGCAACGGTAGGTGTGTGTACTGGGGGTGAGGAGGGAGGTGAGTGAGAAGGACAGAGGCTCGGGTGGTTACCTTTGACCTGCAGTTTCGCAGTGTACCTAACCTCTGAGGCCGGGTTGCTTGCCACGCAGGTAAAATCGCCGGAGTGTCTCGAATCAAGGCTAGAAATGCTGAGGAGGCTAGAGTAAGGGTCAAGGGCCGAAACGTTGACGCCCAGGTTAGGCGTCAATGGTTGCCCGTCCTTGAGCCAAGAGACCACAAGGGGCGGATCACCTTTACTCACACCGCAGACGGTACGGGTACGCATGCCTTCTGACAGCCCGTCTTGGAAGGAAAAGGGCTCAATTATAGGGGGAACTGAGAGAAAAACAAGAGAAACAAACATCAGAGATAGAAAAGAAAAAAATAATAAAAGCGCGCAGCACGAGCATGCGCCGAATTACCATTAACAACTAATTGCTGTGTGTGGGAGACCTCTGCTGCAAGGTTCCTCACTACGCAAGAGTAATTGCCGTTGTGCTCCGGCGATAGACTCTCTATCACTAAAATGCTAGTGAATTGGTCCACCTGCGTTATCGACATCATCTGGGCTGGTTCGACAGAGCGGCCATCTTTGTGCCAAGATATAGTTAACGGTAGATCGCCTTTCGTTACGGAACAGGTTAAGCTAGCTCGGTCTCCAACGTGCAGGGTATCCTCTGCGTAGAAGGGGCTAACTTTTGGGGGAACTGTAATTAAAAGTTACATTAGCATATACATTTACGGCGCAAAAATGGTCCCCGAATTAAAAATTCCTGAAAATAAAATTATTGTTAATAAATGTCGGCATGCCAAAATTATTCTCTTTTAAATGTAGGTACTATAAACTTCTTTTGTCTATATACATAGTTCGGGACTCTAGTATTTTATTGCTTAAAAAACTATTTTACAAAATGTGAATTTTTTTTCTATTTTGTATTATTTAGATATTAAACAGTCTTTTGTCGAATAAAATTTTTCAGATCTCTATGCACTGTTTAATTGGCATAATGTTTCTGCAATTAAAATATTATCAGGTACGAACCTGGGACCGGTGGATCTACAGTGTGTCCATGGATGGGGTCCCCAAGGGGGAAAAATCTTTATTATTTATTTTACGACCAAAAGTCATTCTTTATAAAAAGTTCTGCTTGTTGAGAAAATGGAGTTGCCTTATAAAAATTTTAGATTAAATGTACAGGGTGTTAATAAATTAGGAAAATATGAAAATGCTTCAAGAGGGAAGTACCATTATTTATTATTTTTAACAAAAATTTTATAAAACAAAGTTGTTTATAAACTAGCATAAGGTAGGTGCGGTGAATATGCCCATGCAGGTAATATGCGCACCCGCTGCCATTTTAAAAAGTTTAGCTTATATGCTAATAGAGGGCGACCAACGCGCAAGATTTTGCACTTACAGCGGTACAAGTCAAATCAGTCTCTGCTAGTCTTTGCCCAGTGGCTGAAAATGAATCACCCGTTTTGAGCGCTGTCGAGTATAACAATAACACGTGTTTAAAAAGAGTGTAAACTTTGTGTGTGTTTGTTTACAAAAATTGTAAGTAAAGCATTTTAAAGTACGTCTATTTACCATTTTCTTAGTATATAATTTTAATAAAAATACTTTGAAATTAACCTTTAAACCCTAAAAAAATACATAACCTTTCTCTGTTGCTAATACGCCCATCGTCATCGGAAGCAAATATGCCCATATGGGCATATTACCTTCGGTTCGTAGTGGAACGTTTATTATTAGTTTAAATTTTTGTTTTACAGATGTCACCTTATAAAACAAAAGGAATTCGGCCTCAGTGGACGGAGGAAGACCTTAAACGCGCCCTTAGAGCGGTGGAAAACGGAGAGTCGAAAAACTCAGCATCTAAGCAATATAAAATACCGCGAAGGACTCTTAAGCGTTATATTGACAAAAGGCTAACGTAAAACAGCCACTTGGTAGAAAAAGTGTTCTGAATAAAGACCAAGAAACAGAATTAGCGGCCCGAATTATCAGGCTGGCGCAGGTGGGTTACCCACTTACAAAACGAATGCTTCGAAGATCTGTGTATCATTATTGTGAGCAAAACGGTTTACCTAACATGTTATGACAAGAAAAGCGTCTAGCTGGCCGTCACTGGTTAAAAGCATTTTTAAATAGAAACCCAGAGATTTCTCCTAGACGGGCCCAGAACATGAACCCGGCGAGAGCACAAAAGCTCAACAAATATATTGTTTCCGATTACTTTGACAAGCTTAAAACAGTGCTTCTCGAACTGGACTTAATGGATAAACCTGAAAGAATTTATAATATGGATGAAAAGGGTTGCAGGTTAACATTACATCATCAGCAGACTATTCTAGCTAAAAAGGGCATAAAAAGGGTTCACCTAGTGGCACCAGAACACGCGGAAAATGTTACTGTCGTTGCTTGCGGTAACGCCAGTGGAGGAAGAATTCCCCCAGCCATTTTATTCAAAGGCATAAGGATGAAAAGCGAATGGAGTAACAACTTGCCACCCGGAACTCTAGTCCTCATGACGAAGAAAGCAAACATGACAATTGAATCATTTAACGAATGGCTAAAGCACTTTGGCAAATATAAACTTCCAGGCAACTGCCTTTTAATCTTTGATGGCGCATCTTGCCATTTAGATCCTTCTATTGTTGAAACTGCAGACTCTTATGGCATCACCCTTTTATGTCTCCCAAGTAATACGACACATGAACTGCAGCCAATGGACAAGGCTGTATTTAAATCTTTCGAACATCATTGGGATGAACAGGTACTTTTATACTGGACTCGCCACAAAGACCGAGCTATAACCAAACAAAGGTTTGGGGAGCTCTTCTCTATCGTTTGGGATAAGTCAGTAACACCCCAAAATATAACATCAGGTTTCTCTGCTACGGGTATCTATCCGTACAATCCAGATTCTATTCCCGAAGTAGCTTTTGCTCCTAGCATTTTAACGGAACGAGATAATAACATGGAAGAAATTAACAGACTAGAAGAAAGACAAGAGCTTAGAAGGGAAACCACACCCCAACCTGGACCCTCTGGATGTCAACAAAGGAATGACCGAAGCACCATAGAAAAAACTCCTCCGTCAAAGATCTCCAATTATCCTGAATATTTTGGACAAAAACGCCAGAGTAAGAGAAAACGGTCGTCATCAAGTAGCTCCTCATCAACAGATGATAATATGTCTTTATACAGCGAGACCTTAACAGAAACGTTCTCTTCGGAAGACGAGGCAAAACTTGATGACGAATCGGCAACATTGGATGACGAAGAGGCTAAAAGGCCGAACATCAGAGAACAAAGGGCGTTAAAGAATTTAAAAATGGACGCAGAAAACCAGAAGTCAATCAAAAACATCCAGAGAGAAGATGAGGACCAAAAATCAAAGGACCCGCCTAAAGAGGAAGAAAATAACACAAAGACAAGAAACGATGCAGAAGAAAAGGTTTTAAACGTGAGTTTTACTGAAATGTTGGAGACACCATATAAAGATGTCCCAAAAACAACTAGAAAGAAAAAAGCTATTAACAGCAAAGCGCTTATTGTGAAAAAGGCAGTTTTTCCCACCAAAACCACAAAAAAAACTTACCAAAGAAAAAAAAATCGTTTTAAAAGACGAAGATAAAGGAGAAAAAATAAAACCCAAAGAATCGTGGTACTGCAAAGCTTGTCAAGAAGACATAAAAAAAGATATGCGATTGTGCTCGATGTGTTTAGTTTACTTTCACGAAGAGGGCGTCGGGCTCACCGAAGGTGATAAGACAGTTTTTGTTTGTTCAGACTGTGGCTAAAGTTGTCAGAAATTTTACTGTCTACTTACCAGTGTAAAGTAATGTTTAGTTTTTAAGAAATATTTTAATTTTGGGTTTGTTTATTAGTTTGTTATCCTTATGCATTGTTTTTCCGAAAAAATATACTTAACCGACGAAGGTTGTATGCTTTTGTTAAAATTAAATAATGGGTATATTAGGAACATGACATGGGCATATTAGGATCACCCTATGGGCATATTAACGACAGGGTTAGTAATACGCCCAGTATGACGCGTTTTTAAAAAAACGATATAAAAAAAATCTCAAAGAAAAAATCATCGATTTCTGTCCAAACATTACTTCTTTGAGTTTAAAGGTACGCTTTCTATAAAAAATCGAATTGAAAGGTTTGTCGTTTCTAATTTTTATCAAGGATTCTGCTTAATATGGGCATATTCACTGCACATACCTTAGAGACTAAATACAAATTTTTAAATAAAAATTCCAATATTTTAAAATAGAATATTAATAATTATTACTTTCATGTAATAATTTGCATTTTACAAAAAAAATCAATAAAGCCGATTTTGTATACGTTCATGTTATGTCAGCATTTTATTTACATCTGTCAGTATTTTTGACAACTTTGTTTTATAAAATGTTTGTTAAAAATAATAAATAATGGTACTTCCCTCTTGAATCATTTTCATATTTTCCTAATTTATTAACACCCTGTACATTTAATCTAAAATTTTTATAAGGCAACTCCATTTTCTCAACAAGCAGAACTTTTTATAAAGAATGACTTTTGGTCGCAAAATGAATAATAAAAATTTGTTCATACTTGGGGACCCCATCCATGGACACACTGTATATTAAAGCGTGTGAGAAAAATTTGTTATCCATAAATTAAAACACCGACTAATGGCACAATATTCAACTATTCGAAAACTGAAAACACAACTTATTTACAGGACAACGATTTTGTGCTTATAGGAAATTCAATCTCACGCTCTATGGTCTAATTCTAATTCTAAAGATTAAAATGTCGACCCCGAAACAAAAAAATGTTGTAGGTTCGAAGGTAAAGTCTGTGTAGTGTAACGAGATGCGTGCTGAGGCATCTTTACTGGAGTGCCGATAAGCGAAAAACAAAACGAGGTGTGTTACTGCTCGAGGTTTGAAAATTCAGTGTTTAACGAGACATGTTGACTGCTGAAAGTTTAGAAGCTGTGGGTCGAGAAAAAAGAATTGCATCGCTGCAGGCGATGAGAGAGGAATTTGTTATTTCTAAAGTTTTGAGGGCGTATCCAACTAGTGGTCTTACATCAACAAGAGAGTGAAATTTTGCCAAGTTATTTTAGCCTTGTTGAGTGGGATACAGAAAAATATTGCGATATGAGAGATAATATATATAACGAAACGTGGTTTGGTTTTTGTTCGTTTGGGGTCTTCGTGATGTTTCTCAGGTTTTTGCAGCAAATATGTTTAGCTTGTACTGTAATTGGGGTGAAATGAGATTGTTATTTGTGGGATATATAATATGCACTTATTAAATGCGTGAGTAGAGCGAGATGAGATTGTTATTTGTAGGATAGATAATATGCTTTTTTTGAATGTGTGAAGGATTGAACAGGGGCGGTTTATGAAAGTTTAAATTTAAGATTATGTTCTAAAATTTAAACATATGTATTATCGCTCTTATTGCCCAATTTAGCTCTGGGTTATTTTGTCTTTAAATCTTTAATGCTGAAAAGTAATTTCATTATACACTAGCACTCTTTTCTCTGAGTCCACTTTTCGACTATCCAGCCCTATTTTTTGGCCAGTACAGTGGTTTTATTGAATCTTGCTGACAATTCTAAATTTCAGTAAATAATGTAATTCCTGTGGTTGATAACTTGACTTCCTTTTTTCCAGGTTTAAATTAAGCAAT